GGCGGCGAGATATCACATGTCGGATGACTTCATGGTAAATGACTTTAATATCCGCTACAGTAGCCAGCAAGGCTATACACTAGAATCATTCAATAGCCAATGACGCCGCAGGCCTCTAAACCAATATGGCGCGCTTTGGTGAAATGGATGTGTTCCATGGAAGGCTTGTCGGTCGCAGTGTAATTTAATCCAGCCCTAAGGACACGCATCTCTCAACAAAATGGAAGAAAAAAATGTTAGGGACTTAGGGGAGAGGATGAATTTTATAACCCAACACTAACCCCCATCTATGCAACCAAATTACGAGACTTTCATTTTCCCCTCATCTCACTTGGTTTGACCGTTAAATCAAATTGGCTGTAAAGCCAAAAGAAAATCTGGTTACTTTTTAACAGACAAATGGAACAAACACCAGGTTGTTAAAAGGTCTTTTCCTCATACGGACAGCACCGATGCATCACTGGAACAACAGCCAGCTAACGTTTAGAAAAGGTGTGTGCTCCGTTTCACTTAGAGGCTACCTCCAGTCACCAACCATGAATTACGGCATCTCATGGTCAGAGAGCAAAGCATGAAATAAATAAAGCACAGAACACTTGGCTGGCTGTCAGGTTAACTGCTTCATAAAAAAAGAGAGTGCCAACTTGTAAAGCAGATCATGGTATGAAAGTCCAGCTCAGCTCAGCTCAGCTCAGTCATGGTCCCAACTCTTAGGAAGCCGTCTCAAAGTCGGGGAAAACACAACAACAGTACGGCTTCAACAGTCAAAGACTTCCCTCTCCACAACCACTTAGGCCAGCTCCAACAGGGGAATCCCAAGGTGTTCCCTGTCCAGCTGAGATACTCTACCTCTTTTTACAGGACCATAGCGTTTGCAAAACGGGATTTTCCGCGGCTCCCTGGGGAGGATAAAGATTGTTTATAAGATCAGACCGTGGTGGTAATGTGGCGCAATTGTGACAACTTTATAAAAGATTAGGTGATGGCGGCATAAAGGGGGTATGGGGGCGGTCTCTCCGCAGACTTCCGTTTATCTTGGACATAACTTGCTTTTTGTTGCGATTGAAGCCGTGATCGTTAAGTTTTTTTTAACAAGCTGCTCCTAAAGGTGTCGGTCCCCATCAGTCCATGGGCAGTCTCTGGTGATCTGAGCTGCAGCTCTAACAGAGAGGCTCGTGGAGCACTGCGGCGCTCCAGTTTGCCATCTCAGCTGATTTTGTTCAAAAAGCAAACCTTATTGCCTGTGTTTACTTTCATTTTCAATAAATTTGCCAGCCGCAGCTCAGCAGTAACTCCCCACATCATCATGACATCTGCCTCTGTTGCACCAGGACGCATACGACAGACCAATACCACAATATTACTACCAAACAAGGCGGAACGAATGCAGCATAATTGGCGCAACGCCATGCCGGCATGGCGCATTTATAGACATACCATTGCGGTAATATTACACCAATTTGCCTGCATGGTCTGTCTTATAAAAGAGGCTATAGTCCCTCCAGCGTGTCCTAGGTCGTCCTTTGGGTCTCCTCCCAGTTGGACGTGCTCAGAAAACCTCACCAGGGAGGCGTCCAGGAGGCATCCTAACCAGAACCCCAAGCCACCTCAACTGGCTCCTCCCCTCTCTCGCAGCGGATCTCCGAGCCCCTCCCAGATTACAGAGCTTCCGGGAGAACTCTAAGGGAGAGGCCAAACACCCTGCAGAAAAAAACTCATTTCAGCCACTAGCATCTGCGATCTTATTCTTTTGGTTGCTACCCAAACTCGTCACCATAGATGAGGGAACGTCAATCGATAAATCAAGAGCTTTGTCTCTTCACCATGACAGACAAGTACAGAAAGCGCTGCCGTTTCACACAGCCCCCTCCTCGTCGTGTGTGGATTAAATAAAAACTGACATCATTCATTGCCGAAACGGTCACAAAATGCTGACATCTTAACAAAGTCTTGAAAGGGACACAATTGTAAGATACTACGGCTGAGAAGACCATACCATCGCTGTTTACCCGTCACCTCCGCCCATCCCAGAAATTTCCTGGAACTCCCATAGTGGAAACATAGCTAATAAAACCGTATCTGTTTTGAAATGATCGAAGCATCCTTGTGACAAATGTACTTTGAAGGAAACAGCAGGAAACGCACCACCCGACAAAGATTCCTCCAACTCCCATGTGGATGTATTCCATGACGGAAGAACAACTCTATTTCACTCTATTACCTAACTTTGATAAGTCCTAATTTCCCAAGGGCTCCAACTTCCAGATGAACTCGGTCTGACTCGGTTCCTCCAGCAGAAAGCAGACAAAGCAGCATCTACCAGCAGCCGAGCAGAAGCAGAACCAAACGTTTCCAAAGATCCCCTCCTCGCTGGGAGATGTGCTGTTGTGCAGCAGAGGAAATAAGCAATAACACGTAAACTGTCTCCGTTTAACTCCATGATGAGTTCTGTGGCCGTTTTAGGGAAGAGCTGTCTGTGAGCAACACGAGGGAGAAGCATGGCTGAGAGTAGAGCGTCTGCTGGGATCACTGGCGTGTCACTACCTAAGCGCATTATCGAGACAGAGGAACGATGGTAGAGTATTCCATGCTCTGTCACATTAGTAGATAAATATCAAGTCAAGGAAGGATCTCATAGGTTTGTGGTGGTTAAGCTTGCTGTTGTTTAGGAACATAAATACAGAAATATGTGGAAGTGTATGCAGATAGAAAGAGACGATGTGTCGTTTTTACCATTAATCTCTGGAAATATCCATCAAAATCTTGTTGAAAATCAATTAAATGATGCCCAGTTGCTGAAATATTGACGGCTTTGTAACATAAAACCATAAAAATCGGGTCTAAAGTACATGGGAGTGGGTGTAAGGCTGTCAGCGACGCCATATTGGATGCAATGTTTCCTTCTACAGGAGCCCGTGAGGACAAAACAAGCTGTTACAAAACTTTCACCATTCATAAACATTGTTGTTTTGCACATTTACCTCTCTGCTTAATGCCAGTGATGAAAGGGATTTTGCTGGAATGATTGATGAAGTTTTCATTCAAAAATTCCACTCCCTGGGATTTTTGACCCTAATGGCGATCCGTTGGTAAAGTCTTAAGCCTGATTCATGCTTCTCCGTCAGCTCCAAAAGGGAGAGACACGCACGCACAGACGGATATGTTTTGCCCTCACACTTCTTCGTCTCCTGGAGAGTGTTGCAAAGCAATTCCCCACCAGGACAACAGAAGGCGTAGCGCTGTTCTGTGGTATCCTGTCATGTATCCGGTCCAAGATGGTGTGTTTATATTGTGTTTTTTTGTATATAAGAAACTTTTTAGCACAGACAAATTTGTCTCTCATCCTCCTCCACCTCTTCATGCACTTGCCACCTCTAAACCCACGTTTCCTGTCATTTCCAACCACAAAAAAAAAAACGCTTGCTGCACATCTTTTCACTCCTCCAGTCACGGGGAATGAAACGTTCATGTTTTTAGAGTTTTTTCACGAGGTGTTCTTCACGCTGCTCCGTGTCTGCCGCTCGGCTCTCTTTATGTTTTTGAGGGCGCAAATGGCAGCGGTGTAGACGACAGCAGCATCCTGACCAATCACAAGCTTGCGTTGTCCGTCTCGACGGACGGGTGTTTAGAAAAGAGAACTCGACTCCGTACGTCCTTGCGGGGCTCTCCAGCAGGCCCGCAGGACTGATAATGGCGTTGCGTGTCTCCGCACTGACGCAGACGGATAAGCATGAATCAGGCTTTACTTGAACACAAAAACACTGCTTGCTTGCAATGATTTAGGTGTGTACTGCCCCCTATCGCCAGGTAAAATACACAGTCACTTTAATGTGAGGGTCAAAGTTCATCTGAGGACGGGCTAGACTTAAAAACTTTGTTTTCTAGCTTTTCTGTTCTTCGTTGAAACACTTTTCTCAAATCACAGATGTTACCAATGACCATCATGAGTCAGAGTCTCAGACATTATTTCCAATCATCTCCGACGTAAATGCCTTTTACAGTATGCAGCTTATTTGTTGTTTATTTCTTGCTCTGTTCCGTAAATCATCTAAATGTTTTGGCTGCTTTGGTTTGCTTTATATCTGCATATGATTCAAGCATGCACAGCCGCTGTGGCCATTCTGGCTGAATGCTTTAAAATCATTGGTTTTATCCATTCTTGTTTTCTTTACATGCTACGAGTATATAATATAAGCTAGTTCGCAATCTAAAGCTGCAAATAATTTGTCTGGAAAAAGTGTGACTGGTTCGTAAACGTTTGGACCGTCCCATTAATTAGGAAGATTAGGAGCACATCTGGGAGGCGACGCAGATTTTTCGTTTGTCAGATGCTAGCTGGAGGAGAAGCTAGGTTTTTAAAAATGATTTTTTTTTTCACCACTTAATGAAAATGAAGTGAAATTCCATTTTGGTTGAAGATATAAGAAACGACTGGTTGATACCGAGTTATATTTTTGCAAGAACTCAAGTCTGGAGTCTGTTCGAAAGGAAGCAACTTGTTGCCACTCGCAGCATGACCATCATGAGTCACAGACATGCTTTCCCATCATCTTTGACCTAATTGCCTTTTGCATGATGAAGCTTGTTTGTTGTTGTTGTTTTTTTAGCTCTGTTCCATGAATCCTCTAAATATTTAGGCAGTTAGTTTCCTGCTGATTTGCATATGATCCAACCATATACAGCTGTGAGCCATTAAACAAGCCCGAGCCACTCCAAAAGCACTTTTTACGAAAGATAAGCCCAAAGAAAAATGTTTTGCACAATATTTTATAGTTTTCCATTGACCTCGAATACCACTAGTAAAATTGCATCAAAGTAAACAGGAACTAAACAAGCCCCTAGATGAACTCTGACCCTCTCAAACCCTTTTTCTAGCCCTTTGCACAAATTGTACGACTGATGCTATGTCATGTGTGATATCATTCTTTGCTGTGTTGAGGTGTTACAGTTTGCAACAAGTTGCCAATCACATACAGCAGATAATCATGGCAGGTACTCACAGATGTAGTAGTACTCTCTGCCTGGTCTGAACTCAAAGCCCAAGGAGAAGGGAGTGAAGAGCTGAAACTTCTCTGAGAACTTCAGCGGGCCGTTGGGAGAGTGCGGTCGGTTGCACTCCCAGCGCTTAAAGCCCTTGGCGGTGTGGTCGCATGTGCTGTACCCATCGTAGTTGACCATGTAGAGGACATAGCGCTCCATCCTCTCCTCGGGCACGGAGGATTCGTAATGAGGACAGTAGACATCCAGATAGTCGTTTATGCACACGTCGATATGGTAGTCACCGCGATGGAACCTGCACAAATCGGAGAAAAGGAGAGAATGGGTTACCTGAAAATGAAATCACCGCCTTTCAAAGACGTTGTCTGGGTTGGTGTACACATAAATAATCCCCTGTAACAGATGCTTACTAGCATGGCAAACAGAGTTATTTGGAGGTTTTTCTCCCCAGAGAAGCAACATCGGGTCTGGCGCTCCGCTGAGTAGCGCTAACTTCCTGGAGGGTTCCATTGGCTGTTATACCACCGAACATTCTCTTTAACACTGAAAGAACTACTACTAGTTCATCAGTTTTTGTGTGAGTGTGTCTGCTTTGTCTTCTCAGACCCCCCAGTAAGTCGTGGCGGACGGCTGCTCACACCGGGCCAGGTTCGGCTGGACGTTTCTTCCCGCTAAAGGAAGTTTTCCTCTCCGTTGTCGCTACATGCTTGCTCAGTATGAAGATTGCTGTGAAGTCTGACACATGTCAGTGACTCAATGCAATCTGCTGCGTTTGGCTGTGAGTTTAAAGTCGAAATGGTCAGAAGGGTACGACTGCAGCATGTCAGGACAGTGAATGTCACGATAAGAAAAATAAAGGCTGGTTGTGCAGTGAAGCATCTTTACAGCAGCAATGATCTAGAACAGGCCATGCAGGGTCAGAGGGCAGCAATGCATACAGGGAGTTTCATGAAAAGGCCACACACTGTCACCTACACACACACACACACACACACACACACACACACACACACACACACACACACACACACACACCTAGTTTCTCCTTGATCTGGTAATTTCTACATTCTGGCTTATCTAGGGTGGTATGGCCCTAATATCTAGGTCACATGGGCCTTGATGGAACGTGGGGTCATGCTTTACACCCGTTAACTTGTTCAGCATGCCCTCAATTAAGCTCAGGCCTGTAAGAGCGATGACGATAACCATAAAGTTACCAGACTCATAAAAACAGCTGCTCTTTACAGCTCATTTCACTCAGAATCCAGGTGACGTGACACCATAAATGAGACCTGGCCGTCGGTGTAGCAGGAACACAAGGAAAAAGCAACTATTTGAATTGTGTCATTGGTGCCTTCAGGAAGGGCACCTCAAGAATCTAAACGCTGTGGAGGATTGACATATTTAGGTGCTCTGAAACTTCCTTCTCCACCTTTATAAATGTTCATTATGTCTGGAAAGACTTCTACAGAGAAGACCATAAAAAGTCCTGTTCAGTGGTGAAGAAGGGAGGCATAAACTACCAGCTGATAAGGCAGCTCTAAAGCTGAAAAAAAGAGGAGCATTGACTTTCATTAAGTAGCTCAAAACATCTTGAAAATCTATTCCGGCCAAGTACTAGAATAAAAATGTCTCCTTCCTTCCACTCATTTGCTTTCTCGGTTCATAACTCCACAGCTTTGTTGTTTCAGTGCGAAAGCAGATTCCTCACAATAAAAACTGAATTTTAAAAATGTGTTTTCTGTTTGCACAATAAATCCATTTCTCAAGTCTGAATCAGTGAGTCCAAATGACACGACGTGTTTCCTAATGAGATCGTTGAGATTTAAAAATGCATTTCGCACAACAAAAGCACATTTACGAGATAATTATCACTAACATCAAGCGTCGGAAAGCATGCATATTAAAGCTGTCTACTGTTACAACAATTCATTTTACTCTAACATTTGGCAATTTGACAAATGGTAAATGGTTTGTATTCGTATAGTGCCTTCGACAACCCCCTAAGTTGCTTCACAACACAATCAGTCATCCACCCATACATTCACATGCTGGTGATGAGCTACGGTGTAGCCACAGCTGCCCTGAGGGCGCTCGGACAGAAGCGAGGCTGCTGAACGCTGGTGCCACCGCTCCCCTCTGACCACCACCAGCAAATTTCAGAAGGTTCGAAATCCCTTCCATAAAAATGTTTCCCCTACATTTAAAATATCGAAATTGTGTACTTTATACTTTATTTATTTGAGGTTCACAAGGAAACAGCTGAAGAAAAGTTGCACCTTATTTTTCGTTTGTAATTTTGAAGGATTTTTAACAAAAGGAATAAGTTCATCACCTTTGACCTTCCCTAGAAGTCAGACTTTAAAGACCAAGTTCACTGATTGCTTTTCAGCACATTTGCAGTGGTCTTGAATAGAAATGTGATTTGATCGCTGTGGAGAAAAAGCTCCGCGCTCCTGTTTCCCAAAGTGAAAGTCAGCCAGAGCAGAAGGGAGCAGAACACGACAGGATTTGGAGTTTTATTTCCTGATATTCAGACATCTTGCCTCTGATTGGCTAACAGCAGCACAACTACCACCAACTCCCTTGGCTTTGCAAAACTGGTGTTCTACCTCCACAAATAAGAAGTCTGGAGGAGTTCTGCTGTGTGGTAGAGTTGCTAACGCTAACAGTTAGCTTCTACTAGCCAAGATGTGCTCTGCTCTCTCCTGGACGCTAAACCGACAGCAGCCTTTTTGAATCCGAGCGTTTCTCTGAAAACTTTTATACATTTTATATATTTAAATAATCAGTTTTTCAGTCAACTTGACCTTTAAAAATAGGTCTGAAAACTCCTGATTTAAAATATGGCATCTAGACTATTTGTGATAACAAAATGTACTCGGTGCGCGCAATAATGACGACGTTTGCGTGAAAAACACCATCAGCTAATGCATTTTTTGGTTTTGAGTGAAAGTCATGACTCGACTCTGAAACGAGAGCCAAATCTTCTCCTTTAACCACTCGCTCCACGAAGCGTAGCAAAACAAAGATTCCTCCATCACATTTCCAAGATATTTAGAGTAATGCTGTTAGATAGACACAATCTCGATAACAAAGCCCTGAAAAGTGGTAATGGATGGAAGATGTAGTCATCTAAAAATGTCATTACAGAACATGATGAGTTTCATTTTGTTGGCACTGAAAACAAGTTTGAAGCCACCCAGAGTGGGTGAGCGTCGCAGCTCGCCGAGCGTCTGGCAAAGCGGAGGTGCCGGGAATCCCAATACGAGGGGAAACACTTGTTCTGAAGCCGGTTTAGTGCAAAATATGTTGCTTTGAGGCGTCACTTCAGCTGTGTGGTGATTAAATGTTTAAATCTAACAATCAAGCATAAATTCAGCCAAGATCTTTCTCATTAACATGGTCACGTGACTCCTCTGGCCTCTGCTCTGTATACTGATGTGTATCTGTGTATATGTGAGCGTGAGCTAGCATGAAAAGTTGACTACTCCTGTGTTTACCCACGTGGGGTAAATACCAGTGTAAGGGTGTTTACAGCCGAGGCATGGGGGGGGCTCATCTGTAACATTTCATTTAAAACATGTCTGTGGAGGTCCAGGAAGTGTCATGCATCTCTCTCGCTGCTTTAAAATGTCACTGATTTGATGGTCACATCCTCCCATCCGCTCGTCCCAGCTTACGTGTGTGTGTGTGTGTGTGTGTGTGTGTGTGTGTGTGTGTGTGTGTGTGTGTGTGTGTGTGTGTGTGTGTGTGTGTGTGTGATGTTTAAGCTGCCCTTCTCTCCATGCCTCAGCAGGCAGAATAGTGGCTCATGGCCCTGACTACAAATGAGCCAAATGATGTTTGGGTGGGTGAGCTCATGAAAAGGGACAGGACAGGCATTTGTAACATGTCCTACACACACACACACACACACACACACACACGCGCACGCGCGCGCACACACACACACACACACACACACACACACATTTATGCATTTATGCAGAAAAACACACCTGACGAGCATACACACTCAGATGTTAGGTTTGTGTTAGCAGTTGAATGAGCTTCCTGGCACATTGGCAAAGGAGCGGCAGTGAGACAGTCTCAGGCTGCTAATGGCACAAAGTGAGAAAGAGAGTTAAGGTGAGAAACAGACAGTGGGAGGGGGGGAGGGAGGGGGAAAAAAGCCCGGTTCCAAAAATAAATAATAAAAAAAGAGACAAAGACAATGCAAACTGCAGATTTATTGCCAGACTCCCAGCAGATACCTCTGCAAGAGTTATTCAACCATGCATTCATCATTTGAGCCGATAACGGTAAAACTGCATGTGCACGACATGACTGTGTGCATTCAGGCCCATTTGGAGAAAATCTTGCCTTTTGTTGGATTTGTTGACTTTATTGTCTCTATAAAAACGTGTTATGGTGGGACTGACGTTAGAGCTTCAGATGGAGTCTGGTTTATAGCCATGTTCAGTGTAATCAGCCGCTGCAGTAGAGCAAACAGGCCCAGCTTTTCAGCACAGAGAGGAAGCCGTCCTTCAACTCAAGGTGGACGTGTGTTTTCAAACATACATGAGCCACTGTGTTGCATATACAAACACAGAGGCAGCAAGCACCCGCTGGATGTTAACTCTGTCTTTGTGGAAACCTAGATGTGTGGAAATGTGTGCAGCTGGTAAAATCAGCAGGATCAACTCAACAAAAGTATGTAAATAAAGTTAAATCTGGCTCATTTGCGGTTTCTGTGTGTGTGTGTGTGTGGCATGTGGACGGCATTTAGAATAAAATGATTTAGTAACTATTAAGGTACAAAACTGTCTTATTTACTTCTTTGATGAGGTTGATTATGTATGCACATAAGAGTTTTGAAAGGTTTACAGAATGCAAAAAGTCATTATACCATCAGAAGTTTGTATTCATCCATTTCATTTTAGAGTATGCTGCATATGTGGAAACATCAACCCACACACTATCTGGATATTTAGCTATTCAATCTTAGAGTTGGGAAATTTAGCCTCTAAATTATTATATCTCTGTATTTCAAGGAAATCTGCTAAAAATATTAATGATTTATCATTTAGATAGATTGGGCAGCAGCTTGCAGGTAAAATGTGCAAACAAGGAAGCATTAGTGTGGTTTTATTGCACACACTTGGGAATGTAAATGTGTTTTATGTATCACTTACATCACTAAAAGGAGTGGGTCATTTTAGCAAAAATATTACACCACGATAAAATCTCTACAGTGATTTTTATCAGCTTATACTTTAGGGATGTGTATTGGTGAAATTCTGGCGATACAAT